CATGTCGGTCAGCTTTATTATTACCCCTGCCTGTTGCACGTTTACTGATTCGAACATGTGTCCTTGGTGAAGTAGTAGCTTGCTTAAACCATCTATATATGATCCCAGCAGGAGTTTTATGCTCTTGGGCTATTCCATTTTTCTATCTATAGCTTTATAACTAAGTTAGAGTTGCAATATGAGTTAATTGTTCTATTTTACAGCTCAGGTACCATGAATCTGGAAGGGAAGGGACTTGTCTGCCACAAGTTGGTCAGTGGAATATGATGAATAAGGTAACTAGATCAAATATTTATTCGTCTGTCCACCTATATTTATGATTCTATAGTTCTATTCTCTTGATTTTTTTTAACACCTACTGAAGATTTCCATTACGTGAAGGTAGCAACATACAAAAACAGAGTAATCAAATACTCTGGAGACAAAGAACACACAACTAATGAGATCAGCTACACCATCTAAGCCTCATTCTACCTTACAACACGACCAATACAACAAAGAAAGAGACCCCTAGAGGGCACTCCTTTCACCGACAAAGAGATCTTGAAAACTCGATATCATGATGCCATGGCCAAGCTATCTGATTGGAAAAGAGATTGATCTTCTTATTGTCATTCTGCCAGATAATAATGGATCATTATATGTATTTCCTATTTTGGTTCATGTAATAAGTAATAAAGATTTCAGTTTTTTTACAAATTTAAAAATTTTAATTTATAGAATTTTAATAATTTAAAAATGTTAAGGACTCCATACTTGATAACACCATTGGACACACCATTTCGACTACAGTTCTTACCTATTCAACAAAAAAAAAAAAATATATTATAATGTTAAGGATTCCACAATGGGGTACACCATTGTGGATGGTCTAATAAACGTCACCCCAGTTAACTCTTAGCAAAATCGGATCTTACATGACACGGCGTCGTTTGAACGAATCTTCAACCTTCTTACTTCTTCTTGTTCTTCCTCTCACGGTCTCACCTGCCCTATAAATGAAACTCTCTTTGTATATTATTAAAAAAACCCAACTTTTATTAATCACTGCTCACTCACTCTCTCTCTCTCTACAAACCCAGCTCCGATGGGCTTCCCCGTAGGCTACACAGAGGTTTTTCTCCCAAAGCTGTTCGTACAAACACTCTCAATACTCAGTTTCATCAGAACCCTCGTCTTCTCTCTCTTCCGCTTCTTGGGCCTCTCAGACTTCCACGAAACGGATCAAACCTGGCCCGACTACACATCTTACCCGACCCACATACCCGAACTCCGCTCACCTTTCTCCGCCTTACTCATCCGCGAGATCTTACCTGTTATCAAGTTCGAAGATGTAACAACCTCCGGCGAGGATCTTCCGGAAAGCTGCGCCGTCTGTCTCTACGAGTTTGAAGGAGAGCAAGAGATCCGGTGGCTCAGAAACTGCAAACATATATTCCACCGGAGCTGTTTGGACCGTTGGATGGATCACGACCAGAAGACGTGTCCTCTTTGCAGAACACCGTTTGTTCCAGATGAGATGCAAGAAGAGTTTAATCAAAAGCTATGGGCTGCTTCTAGTGTTCATGATTTCCACAGTGAGTACTGTCCCGTGACGGAACTATAGATAAAAGCTTTTGTGCCTCTCCCTCCTTGTGTCTTTTGTTTTTTTTTTTCTGACTTTTCACCACTGTACTTTTAAGTTTGCGTTTTTCACCCTTACTAACACTAGATTTTCCACCCCTCCCGATTTTACTAACATATGAATGAGATGAGCAATAAATATTACGAAAACACATACAAAAACAGAGTAGTAGATTGTTTGCTTTCTGAATAAAAGTTTGGGTAAGAGATGATTTGTCTCAAATCTCAATGCAACAAAGTACTTTTTGGAATCTAAAATAAAAAAATATGTGCCGAGTTATCCATTTAGAGATAAAAGATATGCTAACTAAACTCAGAAACTGGATTAAAATGCTAATACTATCCACACAAAAACTGATCTGACCTCTGAATTTTAGTCCAATCTTCTCTCTTTTCTTTTTAATCCAACGTTTATATGCAGCCTGAGACAGAGTTATGACCTTAAATTTCTATTTATAGTAACTTATGCTGTTTTAATTAATTCTGAGAGATCAATACATTAATAAACTTTTAACCGGGAGTAGTTAAGATCTTGTCAGTATTTGTCTCTGACAAGTGACCACATCTGTAAATTATGTTAATAAATAAATAGTATTTCAAAACTCAGTATTGCCTTTTAACTAAACGGATCTAAATTCAGTGGATCGTGGTAATGCGTGAAGTCAGAATCTGGTAACATGCTTGGTCTGCAGATCCATCAGTCAATTTCAAACCTAATAGTTAAATGAATATTGTTTATTTTCACGAATATATATATTTAAAGAAAAACCAAAAGGTGTTAGAAAAACCAAAAATCTCGAAATTCGACTACTATTGATTTGTATTCACTTTTTTTTTTGTCAACCAATAGTATTCACTGAAAACTTAAAAGAGTCTAAAATTTTAAATATTTGTTAAAGTTACTATATAATCTGAATCTAGAAAGTGTCTCAAAATGACCAATGGGAATTTTTATAGAAAATTGAATCCTAGTCCGAAAATTGAATCCTACATAGAATTAAATATAACATTTTACTTCACATGTAATTGATACTAGTATTTTGTAGAGAGAAGATGCATTCAATTCTATGTAGAGATAGACAAATGAAGAGGGTGGCTTAAAACGGGTCAAGTGGCATTTACTATTTGTGTATGATTGAAAACATGACTATTACAAATCATCATCGATATCATCTTGTACATGTCTGCTCTGGACTTGATTAAGCTACTTTTCTAATCAGTAACAAGAAAGCAATCTGAGTTAGCTTAGACGGTCGTAGACTCCGCCCACATATGGAATAATTAAAGAATGGACATATATAGGATATCCGAACTTTTGTTAGTATTCATGATCCAATCTATTCATCTGATTCGATCCGTATATAGATAGATATTCGGATATTTCCGGAGATCAAAAAAACTATATTTTTAATTAGATATCTGATTCGATCTTTAAAAATAAAATATATTTTTTCAAGAAAAAAACAAAAAAAAATTAAAATAAGACACAAATTAAATATCTTTTTCAAAAATTAAAATATACTCCCTCCGTTTTATTTTAAGTGTCGTTGTAGAGAATTTTTTGTGTTACAAAATAAGTGTCGTTTTCGATTTTCAATGCAAAATTTATTAATTTTATTATGTAATTTGTTTTTCTATTGGTTAAAATATGGTTAGGTGTATGGGTAATTGTGTTTTTATATAGGAAATATGTAAAATTAATTGTTTCCTTAATCCGTGTGCATAGCTGTAGAGTGACACTTATATTGAAACAGAGGGAGTATTAACTTTTAAAAACCTAATAACTAATACAAAAATCTAATAAATAAAATATTGTAGAATTTACATAAATATAATAATTATATATTTTAGAAATAAAGACCAAGATAACACTAAACTAAGTTTTTGTTCCCAAACTAGCACTCAAGATCAAAAGTCACGAAAATAGGTTTCATTAAAAATATCATTTACCCTTATACCCTCCTTTGTGATCTATACTATTATTTGCGAAGTGATTTTTCGCAACGGAGCTCTCACGTTAAAAGTTGGAGTGGTTAATATCGTTTATACCCTTAATGAATAAAATATATAAACAGTCAAAATAAAAATGAATTTGATATTTATTTGATTAGATAAATGATTTAAATTAATAATACTGATAAGAATTATCCATAATCTAAATATATATTTAAAAATAAAAAAGATAATTCCTATATATATTGCATTGTTATCCAGAAAATATATTTTAATAAAAAATCAAAAACAGAAAACACATCTATCTATCTATACTATTATATCAGAAGTAAATTTGCTTAGTTGTCAACTTCTCCTTGATTTTAGGTAAATTTATTTATTTACTTTATTTAAATAATTTAATATACAATTTATTATTTAATAAAAACGAATTTATATGAAGATATCATATTTTTAGAAAATAAGTTCATTCTTGTGAATTATGTTGTTATCTTGAACTATATTTTTATCTACACTATTATATAAGAAGTAAATTTTGCTTAGTTGTCAACTTCTCCTTGATTTTAGGTAAATTTATTTATTTAATTTATTTAAATAATTTAATATACAATCTATTATTTAATAAAAACAAAAAATATGAAGATATCATATTTTTAGAAAATAAGTTAATTCTTGTGAATTATGTTGTTATCTTGAACTATATTTTTATCTATACTATTATATAAGAAGTAAATTTGCTTAATTGTCAACTTCTCCTTGATTTTAGGTAAATTTATTTATTTACTTTATTTAAATAATTTAATATACAATTTATTATTTAATAAAAACGAATTTATATGAAGATATTATATTTTTAGAAAATAAGATAATTTTTATGAATTATGTTGTTATCTTGAACTATACCTTTATATATAAAACTTAAATTTTAAATTAATATATAAAAATTATTGTATTTATTATTTAACTAAACGAATTTATATTAATAATTTTATATTTTCTAAAATAAAATAACTCTTATGTATTATGTTGTTATGTTGAAATATATTTTTCTATTAGAAATTTAAAATTAAGATATAAAAAGTTGTAGTTATTCTATAATTAAAATAAATTTATACTAATAATATTTTACTTTTACAAATAAGGTAATTCTTAAAATTAAGATATAAAAAGTTGTAGTCATCTTGAAAATATATTTTTATATTATATAATTTAAAAGAAAAATAGAAAAAATTATCTATTATTAATTAAATATAAATCACCACTCAAGAAAAATTATATAAGAAGTAAATTTGCTAATTTGTTAAGCTCTCCCTGATTTTAAGTAATTTTCATTATATGTCATCATTTCTATAATCTTATATAATTATTATATAATTAAAACGAAATTATCATATTATATTTTTAGAAAATAAATAATTTATGCATTATATTGTTATTTTGCAAATATGTTTTTATTATAAAATTTAAAATTAAGATATAAAAATTATAAGTAAATATAAATTAAGTAAAAATATTTCTATAAATATTATAATTAAATATACATTACGCAAACTAATTATAGAAATATATTGTTTTAAATATTTCTGATGTTTGAGTTTTGTCATTTATAATTAATTGATGTTTGATTTGTACTTTTTAAAACATAAGTAATAAATTAATGAAACATCAACTAATAAGTACTATTCATAAGAGAATTATGCCCGCAAAACACCTAGTTAAAAAGAAAATTGGAAAAATATTAGAGACGATCTCCTTCTTTCATCGCCCAACTTCTCTCTCTCATTTCTCGACGAGACTTTCGAAATCAAGCATGGATGAAGAGTACGAAAATTATTGTTCTCGGCACCGGTCTCAAGGAGTGTATCCTCAGTGGTCTCCTCTCCGTCGATGGTGTCAAGGTCTCTCAATTCGTCTCATATTGGCTTTTGATCCCGTGATCTGATTAGTGTTGTTTTGTGGTGATATCACGAGAGTAGGTGCCTCACATGGACATGAATGATTACTAAGGTGGAGAGTCTACATCTCTTAACCTCAATCAGGTTCTTCTCTTTCTGAACTTTCTTTAGAAGAAGTTCTATGTGGTACTTTTTTGGCAGATGACTTTATCAATCTGTTTTGATTTTTTTCTTTTGGTTTGCAGCTTTCGAAGAAGTTCAGGGGAGAAGACAAGGCAGATTACAATGTTGACATGATGCCTAAGGTATTGTTGTTGTTTGTGGCATTCATCTTCTTTTATATTATGACTCACACTAATTCTTTGTTCTTTCTATGTGGTGGATATTAGTTATGACTCACACTAACTCACACTTTCATAATATCCTGAAAAATTTATATTATGACTCACACTAACTCTTTGTTCTTTCTATGTTCTTTGTTTCTGAAACAGAATTACACCTTCCTGGGTTGGTTTCACTGACAACGAGAGGCTCATTGGTGAGGCTGCTAAGAACCAGGCGGCTGTTAATCCTGAGAGGACTGTTTTTGATGTCAAGAGATTGATCGGGAGAAAGTAAATTCACTCCCTTTTTGGACTGTTGCTTTAATTCATTGGAAGTTTCTTGTTTTGTGTATGGACTGTTACTTAAATTCTTGCTTTCTTTTTGTTATGGCAGGTTTGAGGACAAAGAGGTCCAGAAGGACGTGAAACTTGTGACTTAACAGATTGTGAACAAGGATGGCAAACCATACATTCAAGTCAAGATCAAGGATGATGAGACCAAGGTTTTCTCTCCTGAGGAAGTCAGTGCCATGATCTTGACTAAGATGAAGGAGACTGCTGAAGCTTACCTTGGAAAGAAAATCAAGGACGCAGTTGTCACTGTTCCAGGTTAGCTTATTCTCTATTCAGAGAATTGTTTGATTCCAGTCACTTTTAGCTTCCATGTTTTGTCTATATATTACCATCAAGCATGTGGCACTTTGGTTAAGACTTTTCTGGGTTGCTGGAGTTAAGCTTTTGCTGAGACAATTCATGTTATTTTGTTAACTTGCCTCGTTAACTCTATTAGTCACAGATGCTGTGATCTTTGTCCCAAGGAAGCCGCCATCGAGTATCAGCAGTGAGTCCTTGCTGGCTTCTGCTAAGAACGGACTTGCTGTGAAGATACTTAGCAAAGGAAAACAAGTACCTAATGACCCTGTTGTTGATAACCTAAACACCCGCCAAAAAGGTCAGTCAGCAACTTCTTTGAAATCAAATTCGTCTTGTTTTCTTTTAAAGATCTCAATGTGTCTCTCTGTTAACTTAAAACTTGTTAGGATGGGAAAGAATGGTACTGCAAATCATGTTTCTTGGCCCATCTAATCTCTTGGAACCAAACACTAGCTTTGCACAAATGTCTCAGAAGCTTATCGTTTCTCCCATTGTTAAGACTTTGGTCTTTAGCAAAGTCCCTGAGAAGGTAAGGGATTGGATAGATGAGATAGCGAGTGAGTGGAGATTCAAAAGGATAATCCCTGCTCATTTCGATGCTCCAGTAAACGTAGGGAGGTCAGAGTTTCTAGCTGCGTTTGGGTTTCTTGATGATCTTCTAGGTGAAAGATCTGTAAAACGTACTCCTTCCCTCTCTATTCTATTCTCATCGCTAATGGGTAAAGCAGCAAGCTATTTTCCTCCAGATGATATGAGAACTCTCTCTTCTCTTGATCAGTTCTTAATCTCTGTTGGTGCTGTCAAAAAGACTGTCTCTGGTAGAAAAAAACTAAGATGATGGAATAAAAGTCTTTTTAAGAATTTAGAAACGATTCGGTCTTGTAATTTATTTGTGTATCTGAGTCTTCAACAAGTTCTGAATCATTACTTGCAACAAAGCTAGAAAAGAGATTTGATTTATACTTCATAAAAAATCTTCAACACTCTTTTGATCATGTGTATCTGTTGTATCAGTAACCAATCTAAAACCAAACCACAAATCTGACACTCTCTCTCTCTTGAGATTACATGCATTTCTCTTACATGATTGAACAAACACATTTGTTCATCTTAGGATCACCATCTTTAGGCTTCTTTTCTGTTCCCGAACATACATAAAAGAAAGAAATGTATTTCAAGTGGAGAACAGAGTTTGAAGATTAAGTAGAGGCTGTGTTCTCTTTGAATACTATATACATACCTTTTTCAGTAAGCAGAGCTTGGATGATGACATGCATTGTGGTGACAGCGTCTACGAGAGTAGATACAGGGCTTCGGTAGTCTTTAACCGTCTTGTTGTTTTCCAAAACTTTCCCTGCGCTTATCAACTTCACCTCTTTCACTGTCCTCAATCCATTTTCCTTTTCCTAACATTTTTTTTTATTAAATATTAAATTTTCAAGAAGTATTTCTAAATATTTTACTTGCTATATCCTAACATTTTACTTTTAATTAAATATTAAGTTTTCAGGAAGACCTTCCTAAATAGTTTACTTGCTATCATAACATTTTTCTTTTTTTAATAAATAATTTCAGGAAGTCCTTCTTAAATATTTTACTTGTTATTCTAACATTTTTATTGTTAATTAATATTAATTTTTTAAGAAAAGTTATCCTATATAACATATGTGTTTTATAATGATATCATTTTGCTTTTGGAAGCATATCCTGAATAATTTTGTAATAAGTGACCAAGATCAAATAGTATATCGTGTTACTTGGAGTAGATGATTCTCTTTGTCCTTCTTGCTTGTGTACATACGAACAAGTCCTTTATACTTGTTCTTGTCTCCTCCTCTTATTAAGATTTCCTTGTACGCCTTTTGGATTGTTTCGGAATACTTAATTCAAATGCCTTTGATTCATACTTAATTGATCTTTATGAGATTTTTTTTTAAATATGGTTGCTATATATACTTTTATGGAGATTGGACCTCATACTTTGATTCATACTTAATTTCTTCTGTTGTTTGATTGGATCAGGAAGCCGTTAGTGACGAAAGTGTTCAGCAACAAGGGTAAAGTGTTCAGCTGGTGATATTAAGGTGAATATCTCATATGCCTAAAGAGTTTAGCCATCTATACCTGCAGAGTTTAGCCATCTATACATGTTCAGGAAATTCAAGAACTGATACATTTTCTTATCTTTCTCCTTTAAATGGTATTCCAGTTTTTGGTTCTACCGTGCAGAGAGAAAAACAGGTACATCATTTCTATTTTTTTTTTTTTTTTTTTGCGTTTGTATGATTTTCTTCTTTTTATACTATTCATGATACGCTTCTTGATCATGTACTAAACCATTGGCCTAGTGGCCGCACAATATGATTCTCTTTCTTTGAGTTCAACTCAGTTAGTGTTAGTCTGAGAGGTAATAAAACTCCCATCGTGTTACTATCCTGCGTAACCAAGTAATAAATATTTCAAAATTTGCTAACACCAAATCTTCTGGAAAGCTTTCCTGAAACTACATAAATCCTTCCTGGAAAATTAGAAAAACTACATAGTTTCACAAGCACAAGTAAGAGACTAACAATATCATAAGGAAATTCACGAGCCTACCAAAGATATCAACAGGCGTAAGCAAAACACAAGAAGACACAAAGCAAAAAAAGATTCAAATTTGTTATCATCAAATATTCTGGAAAGCTTTCCTGAAACTACACAAATCCTTCCTGAAATTTTAAAAACACTACACAGTTTCACAAGCACAAGTACAACCACAAGTAAGAGACTAACAATTTCATAAGAAAATTCACGAGCCTATCAAAGATATAACATGACTAAGCCAAACAAGAAAACACCAAAAAAAAAATCAAATTTGTTAACATCGAATTTTCTGGAAAGCTTTCCTGAAACTACATAAACCCTTCCTGAAATTTTAAAAATACTACAAAGTTTCACAACCACAAGCACAATCAAGAGATTAACAATGTTATAAGCAAATTCACGAGCCTACCAAAGATATCAACATGCGTAAGCCAAACAAGTAAAATAAATAACTTCATTTGTATAATTGAGAGTGAAGAAATGAGCTAAGTAATTTTAGTTTTAAAAATTAGACAACTTCATTTGATTCTTACCAATATGGTGTACAATTCTTATTTTGGTTAAACCACGACATGTATAATCGAGACTTTCCTCAATTGCACTCAAAATCTTAATTTTGTTTGTTTTTTAATGATTTTCTTCTTTCTTATACAATTCATGATAGGAGTCCTGATCATGTACTAAACCTTCCAAATAAATTGAATCGTGCAGATGTTTCCAGTGTTTATAATATAAAATTAACGGTTAATATATTTATTTTTTTAGCTTTTACCAGATGTTTTTAAACAAATTGGTCCCTAAACATTAAACAAAACATTTTTCTTCAAGTAAACGTTTGTTGTTATATTTCTACTAATTAGTCTCTAATTATGTGTTGCTCTCAGCCGAGTTGCACATTAACCATCAATTTCATCAAACGTAGAAGACTGATGAACTAAACTGACAAAGAAAAAGCACAAAGCGACTTACAGAATTCTAACCAAAGGTAAGTCTTGAAACCCATTAAAAAATCACAAAAATGATAAGAGATAAGTAGTAGCATTGAACCAAGTAAATACAAAGAAGATCTTATATAAGGTGGTCTCATGATCTCTTCCGTTGCTCCTAAGGATTTGCTGCTATAAAGAATACCAGGTTGGGCTTGGCTAAGCAGCCATGGGATCCTCCTCCTCTTGGTCGCTGTTCTCAGATCCCTGGCTGCTGCTTGTAGTAGAAGAAGACCCACCACCACCATTTGTCTCATCCTCTGCAGTTGGTAGCTGATACCTACAAACCGGACACGAGCTATGAAGCTCAAGCCATGGGAGATTATCACTCTCCAATATTATATATTCAACACAGCACGCCTGCAACAAAATATACAATCATGTGTAACTCTGCAGGTGTTCAAGATTCTATATAGTCACTTCTATTGATGTGTACATTTGAAGTTAATGAGACACTTTGCACTGAGCGGACGATAATACAAAACAAGTAACATCTAAACTAAGCTGTCAGAAGATTCACTATTCAACTAATCATTTCACACTAGTAGTAGTAGCCTACAATAAGATTTTAATTAGGGACCATTCAATCTTAAAAATAAGTATATCTTTGCTGCTTCAGTGACGTGAAAATGAAACTTTAGAAAGGAACAAATTGAAATTAAAGAGAAAAGTAAAACCAAATCTAGAATGAACTACTGTGAAATTAAAGAGAAATATATACTTCAAAATTTGTTAATACCAAATCTTATGGAAAGCTTTCCTAAAACTATACAAATCCTTCCTGAAAAAAAAACCCACATAGTTTTACAGACACAAGCAATTGTCTAGAAATGTCATAAGCAAATTCAAGAGGCTACCAAATATATCAACATGCGTAATCCAAACAAGAAGACACAAAGCAAAAAAAATCAAATTTGTTATCATCGAATATCTGGAAAGCTTTCCTGAAACTACACAAATCCTTCCTGAAACTACACAAATCCTTCCTGAAATTTTAATAATAGTACATAGTTTCACAAACAGAAGCAAGAGATTAACAATTTCATAAGCAAATTCACGATCCTACCAAAGCTATAACATGCCTAAGCCAAAGAAGAAGACACCAAGCAAAAAAAAAGTTCAAAATTTATTAACATCGAATTTTCTGAAAAACTTTCCTGAAACTGCATAAATCTTTCCTGAAATTTTAAAAACAATACACAGCTTCACAAGCACAAGCAATTGTCTAAAATATGCATAAGCAAATTCAAGAGGCTACCAAAGATATCAACAGGCGTAATCCAAACAAGAAGACACAAAGCAAAAAAAAATATCAAATTTGTTATCATAGAATATCTGGAAAGTTTTCCTGAAACTACACAAATCCTTCCTGAAATTTTAATAATAGTACACAATTTCACAAGCACAAGCACAAACAAGAGATTAACAATGTCATAAGAAAATTTACGAGCCTACCAAAGATATAACATGCCTAAGCCAAACAAGAAGACACCAAGCAAAAAAAAGTTCAAATTTGTTAACATCAGATTTTCTAGAAAGCTTTCCTAAAACTACATAAATCCTTCCTAGAATTTTAAAAACACTACACAGCTTCACAAGCACAAGCGATTGTCTAAAAATGTCATAAGCAAATTCAAGAGGCTACCAAAGATATCAACAAGCGTAATCCAAACAAGAAGATACAAAGCAAAAAAAAAAAAAAAATCAAATTTGTTATAATCGAATATCTGGAAAGCTTTTCTGAAACTACACAAATCCTTCCTAAATTTTTTAAAATAATACACAGTTTCACAAGCACAAGCAAGAGACTAACAATGTCATAAGCAAATTCACGAGCCTAATAAAAATATAACATGCCTAAGCCAAACAAAAAGACACCAAGCAAAAAAAAATTTCTTGTTACATTTGACCGCCCAAAAATAGAAGGATAGAGATATCATTATTATAATGCTTTATTGTTACATTTAGAAATCTGAAAATTTTCAAGAATCAGTACTATATTAAAAGGAGCAAATACTCAATGCTGAAGCCATCCACGTAGATTAAAATAATTGACCAATCAGAAATCACCTTTTCTCCACGTCCGCAACTTTTATGGGACTCAGCGAACACAACTGTATTTGGGTTTTTAATGACGAAATTTGTTTGTTTATGGCCCAAATAAGCTTCATTTGTCCGTAAACGTCTTAGTCGGTGGAAATCTACCGTCTCCACTAAGAGACTGAAACACAAAGTCACCCTTTCAGTTTCCATGAATCAGTTTATCATCTCAGATTATTACTACTCGAAAATAAAGGAGGCGCAAAATCACGGCGGGAACATAAAGGATGAAGACGTATAATAGTGCCATAGCAACGCAGGACACCGCCGCCGCGGGCATCGAGATGTTGTCTTCATCGGAAGCCATGTTCAGAAGATATGGTGAAAGCTCCGGCGACAAATCCACCGGGTAAATGTATAGTGAATTTTTAAATCGTTAGTTGCAGTCTAAATCTGAACCAAGTCTTCCATATTCTTGATCTAGAAGTATAGTCAAATTTGACCAGATCCCTCTCAGCCCTACCGTCGCGGATTACTGGAGCAACCAACAGTGGATCCCTCTGCCGCATAGATCATGATCTGGTAACAATGGCTGGGTTTTATTTGAAAGTTACAGTTTTGCAAAGTAGGTCTCTAGAGTTCATATCTACTATAATCTCTAAGTTAGTGTCGTTTCGTCTGACATATGCGTTATGAGAAGCATTGCTTCATCAACATTCCAACGCTCTTAGCTCAATAAAATAAACATTCAGATGGGAAAAAAATCATATGGGCGGCATAGTTTCAACAATGGTAGTTATCTCTTTCTTTCCTCAGATGTATCTAATGGAATTAGTTTTGTTTTTAATGGATTTTGATCACATAAAAAAAAGCTGAATCATCCCCTTTTTTTTCCAGAAACTAAAGGAATGGCCAAATCGTATTCCTGAGG